CATAAAAATAAGTAGTAAAGTAAAGTAAAAATATCAGAAAAATCTACTTGAGTACAGTAACGAAGTATTTGTACTTCGTTACTTCCCATCTCTGTAAGTAAGTAAATGTAAAGCCAGCTCTCATCAATCTATATGTAAAACGAAATTAAATAAAAGATTGATTTTCCCCCCCATCACAACACCATGCTTCTCAGCGAATAAGAACCATTGACCTTGTAGACATTCAGATGGAATTAAAGGTTAAATATGGACTACTCCAAAAACATTAGAGGGAGGCTTCAACAGACCATGTTTAGCTCAGGATCCAGAATAAGTTTCAATCGAAGAAAAAAAAGGCTACCAAATGCCTTGGTAAAGCTGACCTCTACAAACTGCAAGCCGATTTATTCTGTAGATTTCAGCCAGGGAAATGGTTCATGCTATAGTGAGGACACAAATGAGCCTCCGTAAAGAGGAACTCAAATACGGTAAATGAAAGGAGAGGACTTAAAATACACATGCTTTTTTACTTAAACATGCTTAAAACATGTTTTACAGTAGTTTACAGTTTATAAGATCAAAACACATTTAAGCCCAAAAGGTGCAACAAATATGATACCTGTGGTAAAGTCTTAAATGCATTCCCAGGATTTGTAAAATCACAACTCTATTAAGGTGTAACAGTCTCTCTGCAGAATAATACGTTTTGAAGTGTGTCCACAAGCTGCACCAATTTACTTAAGAAAATACTTACAGTAATACTTAATTTTAAAATGAGTAAAAGTAGAAATCCCTTACACAAATTTTATTTAGATGCAAGGATACTATAGGCATGATAATGATGATTTGAATATCAGATAAGGTTTCAGGTTATGGAAGTGTAGAAAGACAGTAAATAATGACACCGAGGCAGATACTTAACTTTGTGTTGGTACCATATATTATGTGGAAACAAAAACAATAATACCGAAAATATTTACAACCTGCAGAAAAGTTGGTTTTGATATATCACACTTGAGAAAATTCAGTTCCTTAGACTCAGTAGTTCACATAATTTAAATAACAGAATACAGCAACAAATTCAGGAGTACTCAAAGATGAAAGATAAACACTACATCCAAATAAAGAGAAATATAGGATGAGAATGTTATTGTGCAGGTTCTGTTCCAGGTAGTAGCTCGCCATCAATTGACCCACAACTGGCCTGTATTAAATGACCAGGACCCATGGGTTAACCACCTCATTTAATGAACCTAACCTTTAACTCCATCCACAACTTAGACCTAAACCTAATTGCCACGCCAGGAAGAGAACTTTTCTCATGGGTCCCCGCAAGTTACTGTAAGTCCTCGAAATGTAGCATATTCCTGGGAAATCGGCCCCATAATGTAACAAAAACACGGCCATACACACACAGTGGCCAAAGATGATCATAAGCATGAGTTATTTAGACAAAGGGTCTTTGGAATTGACATATTCATTACCAGTTGTCACTGTCTCTACTCATAGGTTCAAGAGGTTTCCCTTTTCTGTTTTCGGTATAGGTGATTGTTTTTTTTATAATAATCAGATAATTTCTTTTCATTCAGGCTGTGATCCATGAAGTGCAGAGGACTGCCAACACAGTTCCTCTCAGTGTTTTCCACTGTACAACTAAGGACACCGAGCTCATTGGATACTCCATTCCCAAGGTGAGCTTGCCATTACTGATCTCTGTTTGAAAGACAGAAAGCAATGACATTTTGACATACTTTTGATTTATCTGGCCTCAGGGAACAATGATCATTCAGAATCTGACCTCGGTTCTGAGGGAGGAGGGACAGTGGAAATTTCCTCATGAATTCAACCCTGAAAACTTCCTGGATGAACATGGAGAGTTTGTCAAACCAGATGCCTTCATGCCTTTCTCTGCAGGTAAAATGGAAGGAAAAGATTATATTAGATCTGAGGTGATAAGCATAGCTAGTGAACTTGATCTGTTTCTTTTTCTCAGGTCCTCGGATGTGTCTTGGAGAAGGTCTGGCTAGAATGGAGCTCTTCCTCTTCACTGTGACTCTGCTGAAGAAGTTCAAGTTCATCTGGCCGGAGGGTGCAGGGGAACCAGATTTTACTCCAGTTTTTGGAATCACTCTAACTCCAAAACCTTACAACATGAAGGTCCAACTAAGATCCTAGGAGTGAGGACAGAAGAAACACACAGCATTAAAAGCGCAATAGCTTGGATATAAAAATTACATTTGTTTAATTTCAGTTTAACAACTTTAAAAATAATTTAATTTAATCTTTTATCTTGCTAGTGTTAAAGTTTCCTGAAATGGGAAACTTTTAACCAATCTGTTTGTATGATTTGATTGAATTGTATTTGTACAATACCTTACAAATAAAGTGTTGTGACTTGGAGCTATATGATTACAACTGAATTTGAATCCATTCCAGCCTGCTTCTCCGACTTGACATCAACCTGTGTTTTTTGGTTATTCTATTACTTTATCCTTACTTCTATTATTTTATTTTGCTGCCTCCCAGTCGATAGCCAAATAGCGATACCCCCTATATTTTATTACTACAATATCTTTTAACCCATCATAGCTGATCTGACTATCAAACATTCTTTTTCACTCCTTAACTCTCAGATCTACCACAACAATATACATAGTTTTAATCAACCTTGCAGTCCGTTCCATACCTTTCATCTTTGTCACAGTAATTTAAAGTTATCTCTATTCAGTAACTTTACTTATTGAACATAGATTCATATCTTTATAATAGTTTAAACACACCTTCTCATTTAGAGTTTTCTTTATTTTCATGACTATGAAAATTGAAGAATCACACCAAAGGCATCAAAACTATGAATTAACACATGAGGAATTATATACTTAACAAAAAAGTGTGAAACAACTGAAAATATGTCTTATATTCCAGGTTCTTCAAAGTAGCCACCTTTTGCTTTGATTACTGCTTCACACACTCTTGGGATTCTCTTGATGAGCAGCTAAATAAAGAGTATAATTCCACATTTGTTGATACATAGTTTTGATGCCTTCAGTGTGAATCTACAATTTTCATAATCATGAAAATAAAGTAAACTCTTTGAATGAGAAGGTGTGTTNGCATTAAAAGCGCAATAGCTTGGATATAAAAATTACATTTGTTTAATTTCAGTTTAACAACTTTAAAAATAATTTAATTTAATCTTTTATCTTGCTAGTGTTAAAGTTTCCTGAAATGGGAAACTTTTAACCAATCTGTTTGTATGATTTGATTGAATTGTATTTGTACAATACCTTACAAATAAAGTGTTGTGACTTGGAGCTATATGATTACAACTGAATTTGAATCCATTCCAGCCTGCTTCTCCGACTTGACATCAACCTGTGTTTTTTGGTTATTCTATTACTTTATCCTTACTTCTATTATTTTATTTTGCTGCCTCCCAGTCGATAGCCAAATAGCGATACCCCCTATATTTTATTACTACAATATCTTTTAACCCATCATAGCTGATCTGACTATCAAACATTCTTTTTCACTCCTTAACTCTCAGATCTACCACAACAATATACATAGTTTTAATCAACCTTGCAGTCCGTTCCATACCTTTCATCTTTGTCACAGTAATTTAAAGTTATCTCTATTCAGTAACTTTACTTATTGAACATAGATTCATATCTTTATAATAGTTTAAACACACCTTCTCATTTAGAGTTTTCTTTATTTTCATGACTATGAAAATTGAAGAATCACACCAAAGGCATCAAAACTATGAATTAACACATGAGGAATTATATACTTAACAAAAAAGTGTGAAACAACTGAAAATATGTCTTATATTCCAGGTTCTTCAAAGTAGCCACCTTTTGCTTTGATTACTGCTTCACACACTCTTGGGATTCTCTTGATGAGCAGCTAAATAAAGAGTATAATTCCACATTTGTTGATACATAGTTTTGATGCCTTCAGTGTGAATCTACAATTTTCATAATTAATGAAAATAAAGAAAACTCTTTGAATGAGAAGGTGTGTTCAAACGTTTGGTCTGTACTGTATATTATATATATGTGTATAGAGAGAGAGAAAGAACGAGAGATACAGGATGCATGACAGGTTGCATACATTTTTGTCTGGTGACACACATTTGATCTATGATGAAAATTGTAGCCTACAAAGTTGCTGTTGGTGGCTTTAGGAGTGTTTGGTAACATGTGGTATACCTTAGTTAAGCTGGTAAGAGTCATGCAACTGGATAGGTTTGTGTTAGTTGTCCAGTTTGATGTTCATTTAAATTTTTTGCGACTTCTTGTCACAACTTTTCATGCACCCTCTGCATTTATAAGTTATGATGAGGTACCCCGCGTCAGTTAAAGTTTAGGAGTTGGAGTCATGCTATCTGAAGAGTTAGCGTTAGTTTTGGAGTTTGAAGTTCATATAATGCAATAACCAACCAATAAAGAATGTGCTGATTCTAATGAAAATAACCCGACCAGTTGCCCTTCCTTGAACACTCCTTGGGTAAAGCTTCAGAAGAACACTTGAACCCAATCCAAGAAGATGCCTGATAAAAAGAACACCACATCTAGATGATAAAACCTGACCTAGACTCCAGAGAAACATCTTCTACTCCAAGTAACAGGTGCAAAATCCTGTCTGTTTCCAAAACAAAGGACAAGGAAGGAGAAACTAAGAATATTGGGATTCCACTACAAATCTGTTTTGTTGCTCTACATGATGCTGACCCTCAGGAAAATAGCCATTTTCTGGGCAACAGAAAAAGCTCTGAAATCATCCAACTCTCTCCTAAACAACATAATAACAAACCAGCTGCCAAACCAAGATCATTGATAGTAACTGATAATGTTGTGATTAACATTTTTGCAGCAAGAAAAACACTGAAATAATGAATGTTGGCTGCAGCAAGGTGTCTTACATCTCAACAATGATAACACAATAACAGAATTACACCCAACTTTGAAGAAACTGGTTATTCAAATTGCAGGACTGAATGAGATTGAATAAGCGAAAGTCAGAAATTTTAAAGAAGAGCCAGCTGATTCATCTGCTCACCACTACAAAACAAATACATTTCAAAATATTCCTTAGTGGCACTATAGGAGGTTTATCAAGCAGGAGATGAAATCTATAGCAGAGTTTCTCATCTCAATACATGGATCAAAACAGCCTGCTCAGCTGCATCTGGTGGCTTATTGATAACTTTATTATTTTCTGGCACCTTTTCAAAAGACATGGATTCCACCTAAATAGGTCAGGTGCAAAATGTCTGACTTCCAACATGTTCTGTTCGTTGAACAAAGTACAATGTGAATGACAAGCTAATAAAATTTCTCCCTGATGATAAACTTCACCCTGCTGAGGCCTTGGAAAAGGAAAAGCAAGGCAGTCAATAGAAAATAAGGCTGACTGAAATGGCTGGTAGGGTAAAAAAAAAGATGATTAGGACCCAGTCGTTAATGATTTGGAGCACAGTAGCCTCCCCCAAGATTCCGCCAGGCAAGCATGCGATCCAAAAAGAACACCTAAATCCTCTTTTCCTGCCCTTCCACAATCACTTCACATCACCATCTCTAGTATCCAACCTAACACTACAACTTAATCTGTCCCCTCAACATGAAACTCCAAATGAACAGCTAACTCCTCCCCCTGCCCGTCTAAAACCTCTCCAAAGCGCTATCTCCTGTATCCAGCCCAACACTACTGCTGAATTTGTTCCCCCCCCAAACCCCCTCCTCATTTCCTCTTTGCAGGCAAACACTACCTAAAGGGTGCAGAGCTCCGACTCTGTCTGTCCCACATGCAAAGAAAGCTGGCAGTGTTGGAAATCAGGACCATGGAGTTGCTTTTCTGTGATATACTTTCAATCCCAGTGGTAACTTTATCAGAGTGATCCTCTCTAAGAAATGCTTGGCCTTTAAATGAAGTTAGATGTAAAATCTCCATTTAAATAACTGACAGAAAGAACAGAGCTAAATGATTAGCAGTAGTAAATTATCCAACTTGAAAAATATAAAATGTGGAGCTCAACCAGCTAGATGGATAATATCAACTAACGTTCTTAAACTGGTTGTCAGAAGGCTCAGAGATTAAGATAATGTGCAGCTACTCGTCACCTGAGGAAGACTAACTGAATTCTCTGGCACAGTTAAGTCCGAGCCGAGGAGTGAAGTCCAAAGGAGTGGAACTCCGTAGCTTGTTACTAAGCCGGTACCAGAAATCCAGGAGAGAAGAGTAGCAGCGAAACCTCAGAGGTGCCATTGTTACAGGCAAAGAAATGATAGGGTAGCCCCGCCCAACGCGCATCAGACTCACTTTTCCACCACGCAGCTAGAGCAGCAAAGATGCTTCAGCCGTTCATCAGAACTAAACTTGTACAAGCATCAAAAATTAAACAGCACTTGCGTTTTTGCTGCTCTTGGTGCCTTAGGTGTGAACGAAGCATAACAGTGGCTAGCTTCCAGCCATGGCATCCTGCACGAGCATTGGGGGGTTGATTCGTTCATGTGTCAGGGTACACGCACGGGGGAGGGACAAGCAGACCACCATGACTGACGTGTCAGAAACCAAAAGTGTATAACGGACCGTGTTTTGTGATTGGTGGACGTTACTCATTGGTGTCTCACTGTAGCAGGGACCATTTATTTTAGTTTCAATTCACAACCTTCAATTTCACTGCTTGCTAGGCGACTGTGGGGAGATCTTCAAGCCACATGGTAAAAAATGCATCAGAAAAGATCTCCTACTGCACCTTTAAATTCATGTAGAGCACTAAGTATAGACTTTGTACTGAACTATTCTAGACAAATAAACTTCCTTGCCTTGCCTTGTCTGTTCTGGCTTGTATGACCAGTCTTCACATTCCACATTAGCAGCTTCCAACATAGCAGAATTTTTAAACATTTCTACACATGGACCAGATTACTAAATGAAGTTTGTTGAAGTGAGTATTTACCGTATAAGGTTGCAAGACTGCCATATACAGACAATTTTTTTTATTTTATTTTATTTTATTTTTATAGTATGATAAGAACACAGCAAACATTTGTGTGTATGTGTGGCAGGAATGCATTAGATTGACTGTCGGTTTCTATGAAGCCAAGCTGTGGAATTCTGTGATGTTCACATTCAGGAATACACATTCTTTAACTGACCACAGGTTCCTGATCCCACTGTGGTGTCAGTAGAAACAGTTTTGTCCAAGTTTCTTGATAAAAACAATATATGCATTTTCAG